AGGCTGTAGCTGCCCCCAGGAAATAATGCTGCGGCCTTGGCGGTGGGGTGGCTGCTGCAGTGTGCTTCCCACGCCCCTGCCCTGCTCCTGCTTGTTGCTTTTGAGCACGCTGCTTCCTGGCATCAAGGTGGAGGCCAGCTCCAGGCCCCTGTTGAGGCTACTGTCCGCACTGAGTGGCTACCAGCCCCAGGGGCTAATCTCCCAGTGCCCCGTCCAGCACTCTGCTGCTGGGATCCTTAGCATTCCCACCGGATTCTTTTTGCCAAGAGATAGCTCGACCTTTCTCCTAGTCTGTCTTCATTCAAGAGTGCTACTGAAGCCCCCCTCCCCACCCCCTCCGAGGGAGACCCTCCTGGCATGTTTGCAGTCCTGGCTGCGTAGCCTCCAGCCTCCACACCGAGCCTCCCAGTCTGTGTTGTAACCAGCCTTCCAGGTGACAATGATGCATGAGCACCTTTGAGTTCCACAGATGTGAAGCCCCCACCCCAAACCAGAATGGGCCCATGGAGTGGATTTCTCCTGGCCACCCCATTTGAACCAGAGTAGAACAGGCTGCAAGGGGTTTCAATGGCCGTGCCCTTTCAAAAGTAGATGCCAGGTCTTTCTTCCAAGGCACTCTGGGAGGACTCCAGCCACGAGTCTTTTTGGCAATAGTTCGCACCCCCCAAGAATGCCAGAGATCGACTCCCCCACCCCATCAGCTGAACTCGCTTAGTTCAGGGAATCAGAGAGAAGCAATCAAGTCTCGGACAATCTGTGCTCCGAACTGGGCTCGTCCAGGGACTCTGGTTGGCCGGATGGCATGGGCGATGGCTTGGGTGTGACTGTGCCGGGCCTTTCCTCAGCCTGCGCACCCCCTCCTGTTGTGTGTGCACCGTTTGCCTCTTGCTAACCGTCCTCCTGCAGGAAGACTAACATGCTGACTGGGGAAGCTGCACGTCCCAAGGCGAGCTCTCACCCATGAACAGAAGAAAGGCTGGCGTCAATGTGGCAGGCAGATGAGGTGATCGGGACTAAAAATAAATGCCCTTGGTGGACCCAGAAGTGCCAGAATACATGGACTGAAGGAATGATGCCAGATAACGACACCCGCGGGGGCAGGCAGGGAGAGCTGGGTGCAGGCCTGTGCAGTGAGGCAGCCTGAGCCACTGGCCGGCCAACTGGAGGTGTCTGAGACCGCTCCCCTCCATCAACTCTGACTCACGGGGCCCATGTGTGTGCATCAGAAGACAGCGCCATGGGGTTCTCGGTGGCAGCGATTAGGCCTTGCTCCCAAGGCCCCCCAAGGGAACTTGAACCCTCAACCTTGCAGCCAGTTGTTGAGGGTGGAACTCCCACCCCCTAGTATCTGTATCCCTAGTTTGCATGTTCCAGAGCTTCTGGGGAAGTGCTACTAAGAGACCTTTGGGGACAGGTCAGGTTGTCCGGGTGTACTGTCAGGTAAGTGGTCCTGAACCTTGCACCCATATGGAGGGACCTCCTAACCGTGGCATAGTAGTTTATGCGTTGGGCTGCTAAGCATGAGGTCAGCAGTTCAAACCTACCAGCATTTCTGTGGAAGAAAGAGGCGGCTTCCTGCTCCTGTAAATAGTAACAGCCTCGGAGACCCACAGGGACAGTTCGACCCTGTCCTATAGGCTCCCCGTGCGTTCGAATCCACTCAATGACAGTGAGTTGCAACCATCACCACTGAGTTGGAATCGACTTGTAGCCATCCTCCGTAGGGTTTCCGAAACGGAACATCTCTGTAGTGAGATGCTCCCCTTTCTCCGGGGGGAGTGACTGGTGGGTTTCAGCAGCTTTGGTTAGGATCTCAAAGCCCCAGCCACAGCGCCAACCATGGGTCCTTATTCATTAAGTTCCCTGGATGGCATAGAGTTCTGAGCACTAACCCAATGGTTGGTCATGGTAACCCATCCAGCAGCAGGGCAGAAGACACACCTGGTCAGCTTGCATAGAGATTATAGCCACTAAAACCAGAGAGAGAAGTTGTGCCCCCGCCCTCGGTTGCCAGGACGTCAGTCTGCGAGCACATTGTTCGGAGGGGGCAGGGGGCACTGGCAACCTGTCTTCAGTTTGCAGAAAAACTCAGAAGGTCCCCAAACCTGGGAGCTGTCCACCTGTCTTGGTCACGGTGTTGACCACAGTTGAGGTCAGCCGGGCTCCTGGGACAGCTGCCCTGAAGGGAAGCTATTCTCACCGTCTGCTACCTTCTGTGGAGGGGGCAGTGTACTCATGTGGCATTTGCTTGGAATGTAAATGCCTGCCTAAGTGACTAGGTGCAAGAGACTTCCAGCCCCCCTCCCCACACCCCCCAAAAGGCGAGGACAGTCTTTCTGAGTCTCAGAAGGAAACCTGATCTCCCCCCACTGTGTCATTTTTATCATTGGTGCCGTTGTCTGTTGCGAAGGTCCACAGCAGAGCCGGCTGGGCTCACGGCCCAGCAAGTACACTTCAAGGGCAGGGGTGACCCGCTTCTTATCCAGCTGTTTCCTGTCAGGAAGCAAGTGTCTTTCACAAACTCTCGGGCCACAGGCAGTCTGCAGGGCCAAGCTTGCCTGCCTGGTGGTTATAGGTGGGAACCCAGGGTCTTTCCCGCCATGTCACCCACCCCCTGTGGCCCTTGGGCATGCCTGTGAGATGGTGGCCCAGAGGGATCATTTCCCTAGTGTGTTTACACCTGTATTTCTGAGCAGACTGGTCTGGGTGGGATGCCTACTGCTTCTCCGTTCAGGGTTATGTTTTTCTATTGATTTCTTTTTGACGCATCCTGGGTTTTAGTTGTTCTTGGTAGGCCACAGGGAGTCCTGGTGGCCTAGTGTTTACACATTGGGCTGCTAACCACAAGGTCAGCAGTTCAAAACCACCAGTCACTCCGCTGGAGGAAGGTGGAGCTTTCTAGTCCCTTAAAGAGAATCTGTCTCGGAAACCCATCATCCGACCAGTCCTGTAGGGTCGCTGTGAGTCCACCCTGAGTCCGTGGCAGTAAGTTTGGGGGGAGTTGAGGTGGGGTGGCTTCCAAACACGGACGTTTATTTTCTCGGCCTTCAGAGGCTGGGAGTGGGGTTGGAGGGAGCAGGCTCTCCTGGGAAGGCTCAGTCTCTGGGGGCTCTGGGCAGGGGGAGAATTTGTCTCTTCGGTTCCTGCCCAGGGCACTTTCTTGTGACCCAGCTCCCTTCCCCTCCCCTGTTTTGTGTGAGGTTAACGCAGAAGCACTGCCTGATGTGATGGACAAAGCCCGTTTCCAAAGGGGAAGGTCTTTAAGTCCACTTCAACTCAAAATGGCCCTCTGTGGAGGCAGGGGTGGAGCAGCTCCATAGGGCTTCTGCTTCTTAAAAAAAAAAAAATTAACATACACTTCAGTGATTAAGTTATTAGCAGGAGTGGTGCATTCATTGCCACAGTCCGTTTTAGAACATTTTCCTCCAGCGACTGTGCTGGGCAGTCTGATGGCCCCTGGTTCCGAGGCTGTCACCTGTGAGATGCAGGTCGCCCTCTCCGTCTCCCCAGAGCTGCTGGGGGCTCCACCTGCCCACCGTTTGGTTAGCAGCCAGCCGCCTCACCTTTGTGCCGCCAGGGCCCCTTTGTAGTTGGTTGAGCAGTATGAGAACCACTCCCTCCCGATCCCTGCGAAAGCCCTATTCTCTTGTGTGGAACGGAGTGCCTGGGAATGGATGGATAGGGGACACGGGAGGCAGGAAATGCCTTTAAGATGTACAGCTTTGGATTTTATTAGTGGTTAGCAGGGCTAGCCTAGTGGTTTACAAAGTGGGCTCTTAGCCACAAGGTCAGTGGTTCAAACCTACCAGCTGCTCTCTGGGAGAAAGATGCAGCTCTCTGCTCCTGTAAAGATGTGCAGCCTTGGAAACCCAGAGGGACCGGTGTATTCGGTCCTATACAGTTACTATTGCATTGACGCGAGGGCAGTGAGACAGGCGGGGGGCTGGGCGAGGGGGAGTCCTTGGTTAGGTGGTCCTGAGCTTCTGTCAAGACAACCTTAAGGGCCAGGTCTGTTAACTGCTACGATGTTCACTTTTTACACCACGTGTATATGTCAATGTATGCACATATCCATAAGTGTGTATGTATAGTATATGTGTGTGTGTCTATAGAGTACGTAAATAGTATGTTTTTATTATACACACATATAGGGGTTTCTTAAAAAATTCAGGGAAAATGGAATTAAAACATAATGGAAATTCTCTATAAATTCTTATGTGTATGTGTGTACATACATACATGTATGTACACATACATGTATGTATGTATACATGTGTATAGTGTGTACACACTATATATCCACATGTGTACAACATATACACATTATATATATATATATATACACACACACACACACACATACACATGCACAGACATACACACGCATATACAGACTAACCCAGCAAGCCACCTGGGCTCCTCCTATATGGTGTTTTACATGTATAACACACATTTATGTATAGGTACATATATGTGATGTATGCACACACACGTGGAGCCCCAGCAGCACAGTGGGTTACACATTGGGCTGCTAACCACGGAGACAGTCGCTCCCCAGGAGAAAGATGGAGGTTTCTGCCCCCGTAAAGGTGTACCCCTCAGAAAGCCCGGGGGATGATTCTGCTCCATCTCTCTGCTCTGCCCATGGCTTGACGGCAGTGGGTGGGGCTGGTAGTTTGGAGACACACATCACATTGTGTCCACACGCCTTTCTGTTGTAGCCGGGCCCTGGCTGGACTCTGTGAGCAGAAGAGCGAGAGGATTTTGAAAGCCGCTGGGTCACATGCTAATCTCCCCCGCATTCCCCGGGGAACCTGGAGAGCTCCCAGAGAGCCGGGCATCGCTGATGTCACCAGGGGCCGGGCTAGAGGATCGTGTGCACACACAAGAGTCCTAACCCGTGCCTGTCACTGTGGGGTGGCTCCTGTCACCAGCTGAAAGCTGGCTGCTGCTGTACCGTGGGCCCCAGTGATCCACAGGAGCTGTGTGTGGCCACTGGCTTTGTGCTCGAAACATCTACAATGTGTCTGCGAGGGAGAAAGAGGAGGCTTTCTGCTCCCATAAAGAGCTACAGTCTAGGAACCCCCGGGGCAACTCTAGCCCAGCCTCTAGGATCGCTGGCAGTCGGAAGGGCCTGGATGGCAGGTAGTGGATTTTTTTTGCTCGGAGCTCGTTTGCTTTAAGCTGTCAGATCCGTGTCTTTTGTCTGAAGTCATGTCCTTAAGGGGCCTCTGGAGGCTGGCGCTGCGAGTGACAGAAACCCTGGAAGCCTACAGTCTTTCGCAAGGCCAGACGTGCCATCGTGGCCCACGTACCAGGATTAGCCCTTCCACAGTGGGAATGTCACACCCTGGCCTCAAGCTGAAGAGTCCTTGGTTGGGACCACCCCGGAGCATCTGGGAAGAAACACCTGGTGATTCGCTTCTGAAAAGCCAGCTGTTGGAAACCCAGTGGAGCCCAGTTCTCTGGCAGCCGCAGGGTTAACAAGAGTTGGGTTAAGCTGCCTGGAAATCGGTACCTGTATGAGAGCTGACATTC